CTGGAGATAAAAAAAACAAAAGAGAAACGCACTCTGAGCTCCACTTGGGGCACTCACACAAGATCAAACAAAGAGCGTGAGAGAGTCTGACGTGGGGATGAGGGTGAAGGGAAAGCGGAGAGAGCTTGAGAAAGACGGTAGCAAGGTGAAGGTCAGAAAGAGTGAAGACTATTAGAAATGCATGAAATCCACTGACACCAAGGGAGACGAAAAGAAACAGAGAGTGGTGTGCGCTCTCACTGACACAGCAATAGGAAATCAATGCCTACCTTTAAATGAATCAGCAGCAGTGGATGAGTTATCCCACTCAGGTCGATATTTATTAAACTACTGCTCTGGTACATGTTACAGTTACAGATGAGTAATGGTAGAGAGACACATCATTTCCTAATACTTCCCTCTCCATTGACATTTTTGTGCAGTTTTATGTGACTGGAGTCAGCTTGCCAGCAGATTTTACAAGGCATTGATAGATAATGTAAAAGAGAAAGGAATGAGAAAATGAGGAAGAGGAGTAGATTGTTTCTGGTAAAATTATTTTCAAGCTGAGAGTCAGTGCATATGGATGTAACCTCAACTGGGAGGCATAATACAAAGTATTTTGATTTCTCACTTTAAGAAACAATTTTTTTTTTTACCTTTCCCAGGACCACAATTTATAATAAATCAAAGAAAATAAAGGCCTCTATTAATACTATTTGACCTGAAGTTTCACTGTAGCCTCCAAACTAAAGGCAAACAAAAGTCAAACTTTAGCCCTACACTTTACCCACATACACTCAGTCTCTTCCTCCCAGGCATCCTTCCTCCACTACTGTGCTTGGTAACGTGAGCGGAACTTTAATCCTAATCCCTCTACACGTGCCATCCTCAATCAGGGTTTGGATGGAGATACCTATAGATACACAGCCAAGAAGGAGAGGAGCCGTGGTGGGAGTCGTGTCACCTCTACTGTGTATCAAAATACCTCCAACAGACATCAAACAAGCCACCGTCTAAATTAATGTCCCCTCGCCGCCCTGCATGTCTGTCCCATCCATCTGTACCCCTACTGATTCAAAAATCCTTCCTATTCTTTATTATGCGCTCACACGTTTTTGCTCCTAATTTCTTTGTATCCCTCTTCCCTTGTTCAACGTGCCCCTTCAGTTGTCTTGCTGGTACCATCACGGTACATGTCCTACTGCCGGTAAGGTTACAGCTGTGCCAGTGTGCCTGTGGGTGTACAGCATTGAGTGTGGAGCACAGAGATAAAGGGATGTTTGATCCAAATCTGAGCAGACATCATTAGCTCAAAAGGTAAATGAGCAAATCTCATGAATGAATGAAGGCAAGTGGATTTGTTTGGATGGAGAGTCCAGGTGCTTTGAGATGAACATGAGTGTGTGATCATCAGTATAACAGCGCCGTTAAGTGAGACAGATTTACTTATTAACAGATTTACTTATTAACACATCAGGAGCTTTTGACGCATGAGGAGCTAATGAAAAAGGTGTTTTTGCTCTTCTGACTGGTCAAGGATGGTCCAACATCTGCCATTTGGGTGTCAAAAAAAGCATTCTTTTATGTTGTAAACTTAAAGCATTAAAACAGTTGCTGTTGGGCAGAACAATTCCTTTTCAAAATGCAGAGAAACTAATGGAAATTAATTAGGAACACATGAAATCAAACTCCAAAGTCATGGTAGGCTTTGGTTAATGGTTGGTGTTAAAGTAGGGAAAACAACCAGAATGGCCCTTTAAAGTGATGATAACATCAAATGGACATTTGCTGTCTCTTAAAATGAACAAGAATCCTGTTGATCTGATATTAAAAAATGGTCAATTCTATCAAGACAACAACAATCTCATTACCAGGCACACAACACAGACTAATTCAATCAACACTGTCTTGTTCTCCTGAACCAGTAGATTCCAAATGTGATTTCATGGATCTAACATGGACATGGATCCTTCTCTAAAGGATTTGTTTCCTTCGTCAGCTATAATCTGCGTGTGTGTCTGTGAGTCCGAGTGCGTAATGGGGCTAATTTTCAGTTAGCCTGAGCTAGCCCAGACTTCCTGAGGACAAAGCATGCAGCCTGCGCGTGTTTCTGCCGTTTAGCTGACCTAGTCTCTGAACATTAGTCTGGTTGGATGCTCCACAACACATGGGCCGAGAGAGAAGGAAAGAAAGAGACGAATGACATCATTGCATTTTGCTCTGAGTAATCTGGGTTCAGCTGGACGGCAGCAGTGGGGCAGTATGATATCACTTTGGCCTGCAGGCCCTACGCATACACACTGGTTTTACAGATATTTGAACACACTGCCTACGTACACACACATCTGCTGCAGCTTGCATGCACTTACCTAAACTCATGCACATCTTAACTAAGGCTCACCCAATTAAGCAGTCTGTAGGAACAACGAACAAGGCGCTGCGCCATTGCCGTAAAGTTAAGTGTATGTTAAGTTTGTGTGTGTGAAGAAAAGAGAGAAAGAAGGGGGTTGGAGGTTGGAAAATCCCTGGCAACAGCCCCCAAGCAGCATGTCTTATTTCATCTGCTTTCTCTCAGAGGGGAAACATGACATTGTGAAAGATTACAACAACAACCTCGCAGTGGCAAACAACTCACAGGCTCTCCCTTTGGTTGCTGGTCATGACATAGCAAGAAGTACAAGGGGGAATCTTAAAAAACAGAGATATAGTAGTGTGTAAACACAAGTTAACTAAATGTAGACTGAGTGGACAATGTGTAGTTTGGATTCTCCTGATCTTTGGGTATAGAAATCAAGTCCAAATTCGAAGAAGAATTTACAGTTTCTCTATGACCCTAAACTTCTCTCACCAAACCACTGAACTTCAAGGGCGACACGTATATAATGCCGTACTGAAACGCCGTACCTGTACACTACACTGTAATTTGTGAGATTTTTTAAAAGATCACTCGTTTCCTTAGAGGAAGTCACAGAGCTATTCTGGTACAACAACTGCTACACCTGTTTTTCAGGTCAATCCAACTGACTCACCTCAGCTGCTATCTTGGTGCAGTCAGCACGTTGCTCATCACACATTGAGTAGAAAAGTTGCATACCCACTTCTCCTCTCTTTCCCAAAGTTACTTTGTTTTCTCAGAAATCAGCACTTATTATGTTGTACGGGTTGGTGGCTCTGTTTTCTAACACGCAAACCATGAACTGGATTCAGCCTCGCCTCTGTTACTTACTCCTGTTTCCTTGTTACAAGTGACCTTACACTGCATATCATGAAAAATGAAGCAAGTGCACCATCTTTACTTAGAAATTTACGGACTTGATGCACCAAGGGAAGCCGTCCAGGTGCAGTAAAATAGTTATCACATCTCTCTTCTACACTGAATATATAAAAGATAATAGACATCATGCATGATCTCTATCACAACTATAAGCTTCTCTAACTGATCTGTTTCTCTTTGTCTGAATCCCCCCCTTTGTGAATACTAATTTAATGAGGGAAATCCATAAGGGATAAAAGCTTTTAACTGGATTTACTTCATCAGTGATTCATGAAAGTAGTGAGGTACCCAGTATCCACGGTGGGGGGGAACCTCTAATTCCACATATATGATATGCTCTGTTAGACAGAAGTAGTCCTTCATCCCATCGAGTGCCAGTGCTTACACAGCGCAGTAAATATTATTGATATTTACATTATCCACCAATGGCAATTACTAGGTTACTCTGCGCTTCATCAATGATAGCTTGCACTGGCTAACCACCACACGGTCACTGCAACTGCTAAGTACTCACTGAAAAATGTTAGATGTAAACAATGGAGATGCCACACTGAGCGGGATGAGAGGTTGCTGTTTTGGGGGAGAGTTCCACCCTCCACATGATAAACATTTTATCTTCATTTAGCTTGTTCAGTGAAGCTTAAAACAACATCACAGCCTGGATTAAAGTCCCTCTACTAAGTAGTCATCTCTATTAGAGACACCGTTTTTGTGTTGTTGTGTTTGGGATAATCCCCTTTGTGCAGGGGGCTCACTGACTGTAGTTTGTCAGTATGGAGGCAGTGATGGCACTAACAAACTGAAAAACAGAAGAATACTGTAGAGCCTCATTCAAAAATAATGCATAATTGAAAAGAAGAATCCTTCTGACATGTTGGACCTAGATATGCACCACTATACAACCTGGCTGAGCAACGTTTAGTAGTTTTGGTATTTCTAAATATTAAGAGGTAAGAGTTTACTTTAAAAAAAAAAAAAGAGAGACTCAAGCTTCTTAGAAATAAATCATAAACTGATGTCATACTGATGTGTCATGCTGCTTCCCTTCTTCCCTGAGTCACCCTCTCCCACCCAAAACATTAGCAGCCTGAAGTATGGTTTCTCCCTTGGCCAGCAAATAAATTACATTAGTGCAGCACATGAGCAATAGTGTCCTGTTCTGTCAGTCCTGTTCTGTCTCATTCAGTAAGCTGATCGCAATCAGCCAACAGGGGATAAATATATTCATAACATACCCCTCATTACATCAAGCTGAACCAGAGTAATCAGGGCAGCTGCTGTGAGCAAAGGACTCTTCCTCAGCCTCCCTCCTTTGTTTATTAGCTCTCTTGATGGCTGCTGGCTCACATAGACTGTTATTGTGGCCATCATTCCAGAGACTTCCTTTTAATTCTGCTGTGTGTTTTTTATTTTGTAAATGCCCTCTGTGCATATATAATCAACTCCTTTCTGGTTTTACACAAACTAGTACTAAATCTCTGCCTGGCTTTACAAAAAATGAAGTGAAATGCTAAAGTCACGCACAAGAACATAAAGGTTGAACTGCTTTTTCACTAAAGCCCCAGGAGCTGGAGCTGAAATTGCTCTAGTCTGCAACACACACACACACACACACACATATCTCTACTTGGCGTCAAGTTTAGCCAGTCAGCTGGTGACATGTCAAGTCCAGAGAAATAACATGTAGCCGGGGGAACAGAGGGGATGGGGGAGGAAGAGAGAGGAGAGGATTAGTTAGTTTTACCGTTGCAGAACTGTAGCAGTGATGAGGTGTCATACAAGCTGCTGTAGCTGGAAAACCCGTCCTCCATTCTCAACCTCTGCTCCGCTTCTCTGTGCTCCCTCTGTTATCCACCGCTCCTTTGCCGTCCCCCCTCTCTCTCTCTCTTTCTTCCTCTCTCTCTCTCTGGTAACCCCCCTCCGTTAGTTTATCGTTCACTTGGTGTCCAAGGCGCTCTCTCCATTCACTCTGCACGGGTCAGGCTCCCTGGGTGAGTCACCATGGTAACCCATTCACTCCGATTATGTCATGTGAACTCTAACCCCTCTTCTTTTCCTCTTATTTTCCACCCCCCCTCACAAAAAAAGTCCTGAAATACAGCAGAAAACACTCGCTGCTGAAGAATGACTGCACCACAGAGACAGAAGTTAAGAGGCTGCTGGTGGTTTCTTTCCCCCCCCTGTGCTCGTCCTCTCCTCCCTACTGGTCCTCAATTCCCCTCTTGTCCTTCTGTCTTCGGCAGAGCCAGCTGTGTGTCGTTAGCTCTCGCTGATCTCCTGCAGAAAAACAGCTTTAAGAGGGCTTGAGCTGAGAGCGCAGACAGACTCTGGCACAGGCAGTTACTGTGTGTGTATGTGTGAGTGTTTAACGCCCGGGACAGCCCAGCCTTCCCCTGTCACACAGTGTGGACGAGTCAGAGCACAGGGGGCTGGGCCTGCTGGATAGATCCTCCTCCTCTCGTTTGGTGTGAGAGGAGGGGATAAAAGAGGAGAGTAGGACAAACAAAACAGGTGAGCAAAAAGGAGTACAGAGGAAAGCAGAAGAAAATAGGAGAGGAGGGAAAGGAGAGGAGAAAAGAGGAGAGGAGAGGAGAGGAGAGGAGAGGAAAAGGTAGGTTAGGAGAATAGAGGAGAAGAAAGTTGCACGAGGAGAGAAGAAAGGAGGAGAAAAGGAGGGAATGGGCCAGGACAATGAGAGGATAGAATAGAAGAGGAAAGGAGAGGAGGAGTAGTAAGAGGAGAGAAGAGATGGGAGGATAAAAGAGGAGAGGGGATGACAAGGTAGGGTAGAAGAGGACAAAAGAGGAAGCGAGGAGAGGACAGAAGATGTGAGGAAGGGAGAGGAGAAATTTGGCTGGGAGAGTAAAGGGGAGGTGCACAAAGAGAGCACAAAAAAAGGTGAGAGGAGAGAGGAAGGGAGTAGATGAGAGGAAAGAGGAGGTCAGAGCAGAGGAGAGGGGAGAGTACGAGGTACGTGATGAGGAAATGTGGGGAGAAGACAAAAGAGGAGAGGAGGAGAAGAGGAGAGGGGTGGAGGAGAGGACAGAATAGAGAGGAAAGGAAGGGAGAAAGGGGGAGATAGGACAAGTTAGTGTAGGAGAGGAAAGGAGGAGGAGAAAAGAGGTAAACATTTATTGACAACTCAGTCAATATATAGCAGTTACTACAATTACTACATTATTTTACTGCTCTTCCAAACATATACACAAAGACATAGAGTCACACGTGCTGTATGCATACTGTAACGGTATGGAGTCACATGGGGACACGCCATAACAAACCAACGTGACATCTTTCTCAAAGCCAAACATTCAAACCAAACATTGCCAGGGGATCTCTGTGGTGGCTAAACATGATTATCATTCTGTCCTCTGTCTGTCTTATCTGCCACTCTGCAGACTGCACAGAGACCGAGAGATGCTTAAAACAAGGACAAGAGGGGGAGAGAATAAAAAGTGAGACTGGGGGATTGAGGAAAAAAGAGAGAAGAAAATGGGATAGAGGGGGAGGGGATGGAGGAGGAAAAGGAAGAGAGAGTGCTTGAGGAGATTTGTGGGGTACAGAGAGAAGGGCCAAATTAAAAAAGTGAGCCATGTGGGAGTTTAGCGAGAGAAAATGGGGGATACCCTAAAAAAACTGTGTGCTTGTTAATTCTAACCGGGGGTTTTGTGTGTGCGGGTAAGGGGGGGCCCTTTGCATTATTTATAATTCAAGCTTGCAGGGAAAAGTAATACGCCTAAAGATGAGAGAGCCTGTGGCCTATATATTCATGTCTGAAACATTCCCCCCTTTCTTGCTAGATCACAAGACCGAGCCGACAAAATCGCACAAAGGCAGGGATGCTCTGAAGACCAGCAGTGGGAGAGACCATGAAAGGATACATTTGTTTCTCTCACTGTTTTTAAAGTAGCCCAGCAGATGTGATACTATCTGTCAGCGTGAAGCTCTTTTTGCGCAGGTATCTTGCGTAATATCACAGGATCCTTTCTCGTTTAAAGGTGGCCTGGCTATATTTGACCTATAACAGGAGGATGAAAGGGATGCAGTGAAGCACCTTTTAACGGTTGATCAGTTTGTGGTTCAAGGCATCCGTGTTGTTGACCTCAGAGCAGCAGCCCTGTTATTCTCTCCCTTGGGAAAACACTGCTCTCTATCAAGCTCTATATGGGAAAACAAGGTGCTCTTTGTAGACCGATGTTACATTTGCACACTGCAGTAGTTGTGGTGTAAAATCACAAGGATATGACATTTCAAAACACCCGTAAAACAAGTGCTGACCTTTACACTCTTTGTCAGCAACTACAGTTTATATTCTGACCTACAACTAGAATGTGGAAAAATGCACCATGGCATTTGCATTTATTTAGATACACAATCGCATTTCAGACATTTTTTAACCACCACAAAGGCCATGACATCCAGTGTTTTGATTCAGAAAGGAATTTCATGCAGCTCCTCGCCCAGACCAACAAGCAACACACACTGTAAACATGCTTTGTGTTCTTGCTCTGAAGGCTGCGAGTTACGCCGGTGTTTTGTCTGAAGGGGTTCAGATTATTGCAAATCTCATTCTGGGGCAGATTTGGGATCTAGATTAGGGATAGGGCTGGTTTTCGTGTATCTGTCACTCTGTGCATATGCTCACGTGAGAACAGGCAACTAAAACTGGGGTATATTCCCTCCAAAATCTCCCCCGTGGGTCCCTAAACCCCACCTACAGCCCAGCGGGTGGCAGGTGGTGGAACTGCTGCCGCTGCACCCCTCCTTTCTCCACACTTCCCTATTGTTCCTCCCACCACCCATCCAGAGGGTGCACACTCTCTTTCTCTCTCTCTCTCACACACACACACACACACACACACACACACACACACACACACACACACTATAAACAGTATAGTGCTGTGCAGAGTGTGAGGATATCTGGCTTCTACTAACAAATAGTGAATGTGTGCAGCCCACAAATTGCAATTTGCAAGAGCTAAAAGAGAGTGAGTGCTGGACATTCACCATTAACCTCTTAAACTTTACCACTGGCCCCATTTTTACAAATTTGTTGCATGACCAAGCATCTGTCACCACTAGAATGAATGCTTTTTTATAAATTTAAAGCAACTTCTGGGGACATTAATGGGAAACTCAAGAGATAAGACAGGTTAAGTTGAAAAGGTAATCATGCAGACACAAAAGAGATCTTAAATTCATTTTTTAAAATTTATATAGTGCCAAATCATAACACAAGTTATCTCAGGGAAAGATGTTTTTGTACAGCCTGCGGGATTCGAGTGCATGCTGACTCTGTTTTTACAACTTTGGTTCTCAGGAGGTCATATTCAAACTGAGCTGAGTTGTTCATTTCTTATTTTTTTCTTCCAAAGGGCAAAAAGAAACTGCTGACAATGGTTTTATCCACAGATGATCAGTCAGTCTGTCAGTGGGCCAGGATTATACGCAGTCAAATCCAGAGCTGATCAGGAAACAAGGTCAATCCTCTCTATGATCCAGCCACCATCTGTGTGCCTGTCCTGATTATTGGGCTGTTTTGTCCTTTACACCATGAATTAATCCAACCTGGGGTCTTCATGATTCATATAAACACTGAATTTCAAACAAAGCCTTTTTTTTTTCTTCTTCTTTTTTTTTACAGTCAGTCAAGCTGGACAACTAAAGATTGTATACACCTCGTTATCTCTAATGTTCAGGCAGTTGTGTGAAGGTTTGCTCCAACTAGTTAAACATTACAGTACACTAGTGACACTGGGAGAGTTGCCAGATTTACCAATGTTTCACACAGGTGTCTTCTATGATCTCTGTATATGAGGCAATAAAATGAAAAATAAAAAACAACAACAAGATATATCATAAAGAAATGCATCCCAGGTAAATCAAACGTAACATTTATTTTTCATTTAAGTGCGTAACGTAGAGGTGAATGTGTAAAATATAAAATGTAAATGTGGGTGCAGGTAGCAAAGGTCACACAATATAAGCCACAGTAAAGAGTGAGCAGAATATCCTCACCATGAAACAAGTGTTATTCATTTATTTCCCCAGTGGTGATAACATTCACAGTCTGGTCATTATACCAACTCATACTTACAGTACTAAAGTGAAAGACTGCAGGACTGATCTTAGTTTCAGGCCCAAGATAATATTTTTGTAAACGTAGCGATATCGCTGAGGTTGACAATTTGTTTCAACAACTATTAGATGGGTTGCCATGAAATTTTGTACAGACACTCATAGTTCCCATGAATTCTAATGATTTTCGTAATTTTCGTAAAACTCTTGCACTACCTGCAGGTTGACATTTGTAGTTTTGAGAGAAATGTCTCAACAATAATTGGAAGGATTGTCATGAAATTTGGGGTAGACATTCATACCTACTCATCAAAATTTCAATTTGTCCAGAACTTTTTGAAACACCTGCCAAACTAATGACATTCACATCAGTCTCAGCTGTATGCATAGACTAAAAGAAGGTTTAGTGGCAATTAGCAAAAGGTAGCATGCTAACACGCTAACTAAGATGGTGAAAATAGTAAACATGTTACTTGCTAAACATCGACATGTTACCATTGTCATTTTTAGGATTTTAGCATGTTGATGTTAGCATTTAGCTCAAAGCAGCACTTTGGCTATGCCTCGCAGAGCCACTAGCAAGGCTGTTGACTGACACAGAACAAGCAAACCTGCCTACTTCCTACATTTTTTTTTCTAATCTACTGGATGTTTCCTTGATGCTAAAATGGCCAACTTTTCCTACTAGGAACATTAATATTCTATCTTTTCATATCTGAGGCTTTTGTCAATAAAACCAAGATCATTTCAAGGAATGACAGTGTGACATTTGATAACAGCAGCTGTACTTTTGATACACAGATGGTGAGAAGAGGCCAGACCAGCAGAGGATGTAATACTGTCTGTGACAGCTTCACTCTTTCAAATAACTATCTGGACAGAAGCGCACAGATAGAAACAGGTAGAGACAGATTGAATGTGTAAGGGGAGAGTAAATCAGCTGAGTGATATAATTCCCCACCTGCTGGGGAAAATAACCATTTCTAAAACATGCTTATCAGAGTCCAGATTAAAACACATTTTATGACACTGAATTATGACCTCTGCTCCCCTTACATCAGACATTATTAGCTCCACAAATCTAAAGTAAAGAGACTGCCTATGTACAACGTGTCAGTGATCTATTCCAACAATAGGAGAAAAACAAGTGTGTAAGAGAAACAAATACTTTAGTTTAACCCTGCAAGTTCAATCAGAATCCATAAAGAAGAGCTGTTGAAAGTTTTTGTCATCATGAATTATGTGGAGGAAATGTGACCTACTTTCAA